ACTCATATCTCAAGGCACCACTGTACAAGGAGCTGACTTGCCTTGAGTGTAATGTAATATCCTCTCCAACAAAACTGGGTACTTGGTGATGCGCTGGGTGACTAAAAGGATAAACTCTGGAATCCCTCTCCTCCTGACCAGCGAGTTATGGCTCTGTTGCTGTGAGCAGAGAGGCCACAAGGATTTTACAACATTGCAGATCTTGAAAACATGCAATGTTCTACAACCGGGGGCCCCACTTTGACAAAGTTCTGGAGTTTTTTATTCTGCTGTTGAAGCTCCTTGAAGACACTGACAGCTTCCATGTGGTGACTGCAGAAATCGCCGTACACTTGCTTCATTGTCTCAGCATTTTCATCTGAGAACTGAAAGGGTCATCTTCAGTTTTAAGAAGAGTCCTTTGATATGGGTGGACGGTGACAATATTTTTGGCAATCGTGAACATGTATGCATCGTGACCAACCTGCTGAAGCAGGATGTCTCCGATCTGATGGATGAGGTAATTTTTCTGGTTCTCGGCTTGGGTGGAAGCTTGTCTGCACTCCTGCAGTGATCCAAAGAGGTTCCTGTGGAAGAGCAACAAGGAATCCAAACAAGGGAAGATCCGGGCCACGCAATCCCAGTCGAGTTGCAGCTCCTCCAGCATTCCTCGTCTGAACACTTCGGACATGACCGTCAGAGTCTGGATGTGGTGCAGCTCGGTCTGCATTAGTTCTACAAGGAGGCAGCAAAGTGGATTATCATAATAATACAACTGATTCACGAAGAGACTGGAATGGCTTAATGACTCTCGATGACAAAAGACCGCCCGGCCTCACCATAAATTACATCCTGGCGTTTGATGGCACGTCTGTCATGCTGCCGGCAGAAATCCGGACTCACTGCAAGACTCCACGACTCTGCGTCGAGTCCCAGAAGATCGGCTGATAGATCACTTAATAGAGGAGCATCGGCATCATCTGCGCAACAAGTTTTTAAACCTGTGATAGTGTGCAGTCATTCTATGAAACATTCAAACTTTTACAAACGTCTGATTAACCCTCACTGACCCTGCGGGGCCATTGGTGGGTCGACTGAAGGAAGAATTGTCATTGGGGCGCCCTCATCGGACTGTGAGCCGTAAGCTGTAGGAATGGAATCAATCTCCATTGCTGCTGTGTCACTCAGCCTTCTATAGAACAGAGAGGGGAATATAGAAACGTTAATTAGCTTAGTTTTAGGTACAAATTGCTATTCACAATGAGACCGCAATAAAGGCTAGCTAGAATCAGTTTTGTGGTGGATTCCATCTGATTACTGTGAATATGCAGGGTTGAACTACGGATGTCAATCCTACCTGCTCTCTAAAGAGACGGAGAGGCCTTTGGAGAGAGCGTCGAGTGTTTCTCGCTTTTCTTTGGTCGTTGGTGTGAGTGAGGATGACGAAGAAACGGAGGAGAAGGCGAGGGGTGTGGAGGGAGGGATGTCTTTCACAGAAGCTGAAGGAGACACCGGGATAACAGGAAATGTTTTCATTGTCATGGGAAACAGCAGGTGAAGACGCCGATGTTCAAATTAAAGTCTCGACCACAGACCACAGAAAATGATTTAAAAAACAAAACAACACCGAGGCACCAAAATCATGAAAAAACAAGCACTTGTCTTCATTCTCCATGGGCGTGTCTCCTTGAAGACCACACCACGCCCAACTATATATTACCATATGCCTCTAATACGAGCTGGAGGGGGGGGATAACATATACAAATATACACAAACACACATTTTATATATATGTAAATAAAATTATGGGGGATGGAGCGACTCCTGCCGAGGCCCATGTGCATCACTGGGCTCAGTTTCTGCCTGGACGCCAATCAAGGGTATTTAAATGATGAAAAACATTTTAGCACTAAATCTCCAGACTTGAAATCTACATAGTTCTTGGGCTTTGTACATCTTTAAAAATGGTTGATGTGTTTACAAAGAAAGATCTGAATTCACTCTAGTCCACAGTCTATAAGTCACAGGTGTCAAACTCAAGGGCCGGGGGCCAGATCTGGCCGGCCGCATCATTTTATGGAGCCCGCGAAAGCAAATCAACCAGATCAACTTCCATGACGCTTGATAAAATCCGTACCAAAATTTCAAGTTGTCATATGTAATAAATCGGTATTGTTAGCTATTACAAGCATTATTTCAGAAACGTCAACAACAGGGGGAACAAACTACTCTCCTTGACTTTTGATTTCAAAATCTAATAATTGTGTACTCTACAGGGAATAATACGAGGAAGTGATTCAACATTCATAATGGCCCTTCGAGGGAAACTGTGACGACAATGTGGCCCGCGACAAAAATGAGTTTGACACCCCTGTTATAGACAATCCATGTCAAGCACAGAAGTACAATAACAGAACACCACTGAACGAAGGGGTGGTGGTGGTGGTGGGGGGTTCCTCTCAATAGGGATGTTCACACGGCACACATTTGCATCGGTGCTGCACCAACGTATTTTGTTGCGATATATCTTACACTGGTTTAAATTTTGTGGAGCGTTCACACATAAAAAGCTGCTTACTAAAGAGAAGCTTGTTAACCCCCGGTGCAGCCCCACTTGCGTTCACACTGCAGTTTCTGTGGCCGTGCAATACGATAGCAATAATACAGAAATAAAACATGCGCGTGCGTAACGTGTACTTCCTTTTCCCCACCTTGTTTGTGACATATCGAAAAACCATGGTTTATACTTCTCCAGACAAATCAACGCTGTGGTTTATCAGACACCGTAAAAGGATGAGAAGAGAGAAAGGAAAGATGACGGAAGTACAACAGAGCACGAAAGCAACGCATTCAATACCAGTATGTAATCAACTCTTCTCATGCGTAGCGAGTCTACCCCTGTCGCGTTCACACGTCCCATTTTATATCGGTGCTGCCTTGCAAACTAGCATTTACTCCGGAGTAAATTTTTAAACCACCTCGGAGCAGGGTTAAATTTGCTCCGGTTTAAGCAGTTTTCAGGGGCTACACCGGTATAACTTTGTACGTGTGAACGCTCTATGGGGGGCAGCACCGGTACTACACCGAAGTAAAAGTGGCCGTGTGAACACCCCTAATCAAGCCCTTCCAGGTCTCTTTGTCATCAATGAAATTGTCAGTTGTGTAAATGTGCCATTTCTTTTTAATATAGCTGCCCAATAAAAAATGATTTGATACGTATCTCAGTACATTTCAATGAGGAACTATTCGATTTGGTTCGATTCGAAGCACCAAATCTTTGAAATCAAAACCCAATTTTCTAATTGAAATTGTTTTTTTGCTCCACCCCTAATGGTAGGTTAATTAAAGTCTCAAAATGTTCCCGAGGTGCGAATTGTTGTTGGTCTATGGGTGCCCTATGTTTGACTGGTTACCAGTCGAAGGTGTACCCTGCCTGTCGAACAAAGACAACTGGGATAAGCTAAGCAAGACAAGCACGAGAGAAAATAGATAACCGTATCGATGCAGAAATTCACTTCTACGTTGCTGTTTAATGTAGTTGAGAGATGAATTCTGTATAGCATGGTCATTTGGTCAAACACCTGGGCTGCACGATATTGGGAAAAACATGCAATATGCGATATCGGTTTTGAATATAATGATATTACTATTATTGCAATATTTAACATGTACCGAAAGAAACATTTTATTATCATGACATATTTTATTGTGAATGAAATAGATTACTTTCATGCAGCAAAATAAAGAAGCTCAATGTAGTCTTCACTAATTAATTGTAATGCCACAAGATACTGTTCACCTATTGGATGGCACATTTAAGGTTTCATTGTTGCTGGTCAAATTGAAATGAAAGCATACAATTCCATATGAAACTTATTGCACGTCTTTGCGATATGAATACTGCATGGGCAATTATCGCGATAACAATATTTTTTTTTCAGTCTACCGTGCAGACTAAACTAACAGTACTCAGAAAAAGGATACTGGAAATGTCCATAGTCAATAAGAAGTAGCCCTGGATATATCAGAAAGCAGAGCAGAGTGCAAATCTGGAGAGAAAAAAGGGTTGGTTTAATTGTACCTCAAATCCCTGAAGGGTATATTCAACTCACATTCTGCTCTCCATTTGTGTTGCACACCACAGAGAGAACCATATTATCGTCACTGTCCTGTGAAAAACACAGATGCCCGCTTTTGTCATTTTAAAATGTTTTTGTGTTAATGCGATGTCGGGAATGCGGACACCCTACTCACGTAAAAAATGTTGAAAACGACAAAAACGGACATGTGTGTTTTTCTCCGGACAGCGAGATTATGTGATTCGCTAATGTATGAAGAAGACAGGAATTACTTGATGATTGTAACTGCATTAGCTGAATAAGCTAATGCTCAATGCCACTGGAGAATCATGTCTCACCTTTCTTTTAATAGTGCCACTATTCAGCCATAAACAATATAATACAACGGCAGGGATGTATATGAGGAGATCTGCAACAAGCACTGCAACAGATACAGAAACAAAACAGACCAGAACTTTTCATTCAAGCATCCCTTGAAGGAAGTATATTCATAAATGTTATCTATCATTACAAGTTTTGCAGTGTACATGGTGCTTTTATGTTTCTTTTTCCCCGATAACCGTACCTGTTGTTCTCATAAATAACTTGTGTGTTGTACTTTCATAACCTCTGGATTTGTGAAGCTGCACCCATTCAGGGTTTATTATCTTGGCACTGCAACGTAAAATAAATTATTTAACTGTTGTTGAATACGCAGACAGGGGGAAGTCAAATCAACTAAAACTTGGTGGAATGCTGAATTCAAAAGGGTTACTCAAGTCTCAGACATTTTCAGTGAGGCTTTCATCACAAAGTGTGATTACTTACATATGAGCACAGATCAGGCTGTGATAGGCAGTCAGAGGAGGATAATCAAGACCCCAGTAATTCAAGTCATTGTCTGTGGTATTGAAGTACCTGAAGGAGGGCAAGGAAAGAATGTCCATTTGTAACTAAATACTGTACCTGGCAAAACTACACTAGCTGAGGTGAGAACCCTCACATGATATTAACAGTAAAAAATTGAATTTGCACAACAAAGATTGGAGCTTCGATCTGTAACTCTCATTGTGATTATCTGCAAATGTATTTTCCACTATCAAAAAGTGTGCTGATGGTGATGCTGTGAACATGACACAGCATGAACACTCAGATAAGTAAAACAGAAGCCGACGTGACGTAAGCTATAAGGTACTGTAGCTCTTTCCAAACATACAGCAATGCTCAGTTGGTATGTGTCAACAAGGGGTCTAATACTGACCATTCATGCACTGGAAGATTGTAGGTTATTTCTTGCCAGTGCCTCTGTGCTTCATAGTCGCCAAACATTGGCGCTTTTCCTGCCCCTGGAGACAAACATTGAAGTTTTGAGAATGGGGAAACAGACAGGCAAAAAACGTAAACACACTGCTTCAGTTCCAAACACGAGGTATGACAAACAACATACAGTAATTTCAATATTTTATGAACGTCCGAGCATGATGATTTTGTGATTGGCAAAATTATTGATGGCAATAAGTAGCGCTACAAATATATAAGGAGCTTCCTACCGGAGTAAGAATTTAAGGACACTCCCCATCTCACAACAACGCCGAGTAAAACACATATTGAAACGAAACACCAAGTCTGCATAACTCCTAAGAGATAAGGTTAATTGTTGTCTCATTCAAAACTGACAAGACTCTATTAAATGTGGCTGTTTGCAGTCTCCGAGCATTTCCTGTAAACGTCATCATTTACACGTTGTTATTGGTCAATGGTTGCCGACGCTCGCATCCAGACGTATGAGACATTCAGGTTCCCTAAGAATATCGGACTTTCAATATTCTCTCTTAAAGGGATTGCAGATACAGTACTTTTTTGGTGGCGCATGACAGATATTTTTTTCTAACATATACTGACAGAATCAATTATTTTGTTTAAATACAAGACAGAATTGATTTAGATTTTGGAGGATGGCAGAGTGTAGTAGACTTTGTGGAATAGATTTGGAGGGTAGAAAGGTGGGCAAGTTGTTATGATCTGCCTCATAGTTCTGAGTCAAGTTATAATTTTTACATACTGTATTGAAAATGCCATGTTCCTGTTCTTGGGTTAACCAGCAGGTGGCAGATTGGAGCGAACTTTCTGTGTGCACACCTGCTGCCGATTCTGTCATTCGGGAACCAGGTATTTTAGGACCGACAAAATTTCTGATGGTTGTTGGAGTGTTGTTTGACCCTGCTACTGCCGTTGCGCAAGTGATCATTTTCATTGACCTCTTGTCATGTTTGCTCTTGTTCTCAGGGAAGTTATTCCTGCCCCCATGGCTGCGTTCTCAGGTGTTGCAATGGAAGCACGTCTAAGGTGGCTTGCCATTCCGGGGTAAACCGGACCTTCCATCTCATCACTCAGCGGTTTTGGTGGCCAGAGCTTAGGAAGGATATCTTGGACGACATCAAGGCCTGTTCCACCTGTGCAGGCAGTAAGGCATCCCCCCGGCTGGGTTGCTGCACCCTCTACCGGTTCCACCTCGACCTTGGTCCCATATCTCCATGGACTTTGTCACTGGCCTCCCTCCTTCCTGGGGAAAGTCTGTCATCCTCACCATTGTCGACCGCTTCTCGAAATCCACTCATTTTGTTCCGTTGTCCAAGCTGCTGTCGGCCCTGGAGACCGCCGACCTCCTCATCAGCCATGTCTTCCGTCTTCATGGGATCCGGGTGGGCATTTGGTCCGACCGGGGTCCTCAATTCATTTCCAAGGTGTGGAAGCGGTTCTGTCGTGCCATGGGAGCCACAGCAAGCCTATCGTCTGGTTACCACCCACCGTCCAACGGGCAGACAGAACGGATGAACCAGGGCCCGGAGGCGGCTCTGCGACGCGTGCGTCTCCACCGTCCATCTTGGGCTGTCCACCTGCCGTGGGTGTTGTACGCGCATAACACCCTCGTCTCGTCAGCCACAGGTCGGTCTCCGTTCATGTCTGCTTCTGGCTATCAACCTCCACTGTTCCCATCTCAGGAGGGGCAGGTAGAACTCCCGTCGGTACAGATCTAAGACGGGCCCATCGCGTGTGACGGAGACCAGGGCGGCTCTGTGACTCACCGCATCTAGGAACTGGCAGATTGCAGACCGTCTGTCGCCGGGCGTGGGGCAGAAGGTGTGGCTGTCGACAAGGGATCTGCATCTGGCCGGTACTTCGAACAAGATGGGGCCACACTTCATGGAACTTTTCGAGGTGAATGTATCGTCAACCCCGTCTCCGTCAGGCTCCGGCTGCCACTGACCATGAAGGTCCATCCCGTCTTCCACGTTTCCCTGCTCAAACCAGTGGCCTCCTGTCCCCTGGCTCCTCCTCCCACCCCACCTCCTCCTCCCCGTGTTATCGACGGCGACCCTGTGTACACGGTGAGCGAAATCTTAGACTCTCGGCGCAGTGGTAGGGGTGTCCAGTACCTGGTCGACTGGGAGGGCTACGGACCGGAGGATTGGCAATGGGTCCCCCGTTCCTGGATCTTGGACCCATCCCTTCTTTGTACCTTCCACTCGTCCCATCCATCGAAACCAAATGGGCCGCCAGGAGGCGTCCGTTGAGGGGAGGGGCGGTTACTGTCATGTTCATATTCTTGGGTTAACCAGCAGGTGGCAGACTGGAGTGAACTTGCTGTGTGCACACCTGCTGCCAATTCTGTCATTAGGGAACCAGGTATTTAAGGGCCAACAAACTTTCTGCTGGTTGTCGGAGTATAGTTTTACCTTGCTACTGCCGTTGTTCAAGTGATCATTTTCATCGACCTATCGCTCTCATGTTTGCTCTTGTTCTCCGGGTGCTATGTTTTTGTAAGTAAAGTTTTCGTTATTTGTTTTTGCGTTCGTAAATTGGATTTTTGGCATTTTGTTTGATAGTCTCGGGTTAATTTTTCCTTGCCTTTTTGCAAGCGCTTTTGGTTGTTGCTTTGTTTGTCTTTCAATTGTCCTTATTTGACAGCGCTTTCTGTTCCTACTTTGTCGGTGCATTTTTGTATAAATATTTTTGTTACGGAGTTTGTTACTATTCTGGGATCCAAAAACATTATTCGGTTCGTTTGAACCGTGACAGAAAATTACTGTTGCATCTCAATGGCGGTACGGTTATCGACTATTTAGCACGTCCGCTTCACAATGCTGAGGTGCAGGGTTCGATTTCGGCTATAGAGTTTGCATGTTCTCCCCATGCCTGTGTGGGTTTTCTCTGGGAACTCCGGTTTCCTCCCACATTCCAAAAACATGCATGGCATAATTGAAGACTCTAAATTGTTCCTGGGTGTAATTGTGAGAATGAATGGTTGTTCATCTGTGTGCCCTGCAATTGGCTGGCAACTAGTTCAGGGTGTACCTCACTTACTGCCCAAATACAGCTACAATAGGCTCCAGCAGACCGGCGACCCTTGTGAGGATAAGCGTATTGGAAAATGTATGGATGGATGTTGCATCTCAAGAGAATTAAGTCAAACTTCTGCAGACTTATAGCTTTACCAGTAAGATATGCCAGACTGTCCTTGTTCTGACGAAGAGTCAAGTTGCAGCAGTGAGGAGGTTTGTAGCTAGTCAAGCCAGCCAACTGTGACACATCCCTAGTCGTACCTAGAGGAGTTTTTCTAAAATAATTTCGAATGCGCTCCAATCTTGGTGAACCGACCCTAAAAGCCACCAGTGAATATCATTCAAAAACTAACTGTCCAACTTGAGAAAGAGACTTAATTAGACTTCATTCAAATGTTATGAGTTTAATTTATTGCTACACATAATACCTAGTGAGGTACTATCACTAGCTAATACTGTAGTACATATGCTATCTTTACTATAACTACGTACTTAACAAGACATGCCAAGATGTGCTGGCAAGCCATAGGCTGTGATTCAATGTTGCAACCTTATTTGGGGAGCTCTGTGTAACATTTAAAATTAAGCTTCAGCCCAATCTGAAAGAATAGATATGTTATATTATTGCTACATGCAACATTTGTAAGTAACACTAATTTTGGCCCAGTTTTGTCATCTTACATCTGTGACCCAGTTTGAATGCACACTTACCTAACCAATAAAGGTTAGTGATGACACGCCATTGAAGTTGGACTTTTAGCACCATTACATGACTGAACTACTTGTCGTCATCATACCTTGCGTTTCATGAAACACATGGAACTTGAATGTATTTGCCTCGAAGGCCTACTTAGGTGCTCACCTTTTAGGGGCATACATGCAGCTGAAATCGGTACACTTTATAATACAACTGTGATGGATAGTCACAGATCCTACTCTTGTGTTTGTATTATGACTTCCTCATTTATTTTGGTGGTCCACTTCCGGGGGACTTTGCTTGCTTCCTCGAATTATCAGACTGGGCCGGAGGCTGCTCCTGCACCTGCAGGTGATCAGCAATAACCACCTGTGTATAAGACCTCTGCTGATCTGCAAGCGGATGCCAGATGATTCGTGAATTACAAGTGGTATCTAGGCCTTTTCTAGTGCACACGCTTGCCCTTTTTGGACGTTTTGCGCATAACTACTTACCCTATGATTATCCTGCTCCCCATTCGCTCTTGGATCCACTGCTACTTCTACCTTTCCTGTAGCATAACATCATAAGCATTATGGCCTTTATTAAAAAAATTGTGGGGGGGTGTAGTGCACAATATGCCCTTATGATGCAGACCAAGTGTTTGTTGTGGAAGTCAAGTCAAAAACTTCGGGATGGATTCATCTGATCAATTATCCCATGAATGCGACATTAATCAGGAAACCGTGTTTAGACTATCATGGCACCATATTGAAAAGAAAATGTTTGACTTGACCTCCTCTTCTATGCATCTTTTTTTCTCCTTGCATTACTTTTACTTTTATGCTTGAAGTAGTTTTGAAACCATTACTTTTATACTTCAGTAAAAAAGCTACAGGTCATACTTCTACTTAAGTATTTTTAAATCCCAATATCTATACTTCTATTGGAGTAATAAACGTGAATACTTTTGACACCGCTGCGTGTGCTTGTGCGCAGGTGCCAATGTGCATGCGTCCATGCTCAAAATGCCAGGGCCGATTTCATGCATCCATCCAGCCCTGCCTGTTGTCACCTTTATCTTCCGCTCATTTCATGCGTCCGTCCAGCCCTGCCTGTTGTCACCTTTATCTTCCGCTCCCTGAAACTGACGTTAATGCTCAATCGTGCACACATGGCTCGTTAATGTATTCGTATTATAAGCCTTTTAAATGTGATCATTTTTAATGGGTTGTACACTCCCCTCCAAAAATATTGGTCAAGCTAAATTCCTTTGATGCGGTTGGATACGGAAGACATTTAGATCAAAAGATGAGTATGAGACAAAAGTTCAAGATTCCAACTTTTATTCATGGTATTTACATCTCAATGTGCTAAAGAGCTCAGGACAGAGAAGCTTTTGTTTGAAGCCACCCACTTTTGATGTTAGCAAAAGTATTGGAACACATAACTAATGGGTGTTCCCTAGTTGCCTATTAGATTGATAGAACATTCAATGGTGCTTGTTTTTGGCTTTGGGTTTCATCTGTGAAAACTAGATTTGTTGCTAATCAAACATGAAGACCGTGGAGCTGTCTATGGGAGAAGAGCAAGCCAAATTGATCAGAGCTATTGCACAAAGATTGGGCATAGCCAATGCAACAATTTGGAATGTCCTGAAAAAGAAAGAAACTACCGGTGTAGGGAGGGCCTGGTCCAGTGGTTAG